TTAAATGATTTTAGCAAATGGCTGCAATATAACAAAGAGTGAAAAATTTAAGGGGGTCTGAATACTTTCCGTACCCACTGTATATGCCGCCACAAGTCTGTAGGAAACATTGGACTATGGTATAAATAAATTCAACTGTGTAACAGTTTCACTGCGATTCATGTTATAATGTTAAAATTATAGAACAATAAACAATACATTTACACTTATCTGTACATAGTAAATGCAGTTATTTTTAAGCGGTTGTTGACATCCTATCTAAAACGTGATTTAGCCAAAAAAATAAATAAATAAAAACCAATAACGTTACCACTTTAATCTCTTGCACTATCCGTGTGTGCAAAGGTCCTGCACAATCCTCTTGTTCAATATTCTCGAGCTCTGAATCCGGCTCAAGTTAAAGCAATATTGAGCAGACCGAACTTGCTGCTTTGGCAAGGGGCGGGGCAGTACTGAAACACTGTCTAAGCTGTTCGCCAATCACAACGCACTGGGACAGCTAACCAATCACAACACATTTAGTTTTTCCGAAGGGGGGCCTTTGTCAAACCCGGAACTAATCGAGCCGTTTGTGCCAGACTGGGGAGAAAGGTATTGTAATCATGTACATTTTGTGAAAAACGAACCACCAAGCATGCAAAATCAAGACTTTGTAAAAGAGCATAATAGGTCCCCTTTAAACAAAGTCTTGAAGAGTCAGCTAAGGGAACCTTATTGTTTTCCACACATCAAGAAAAAAGATGGAGTACAGTCACAGGACATAGTGCATTACAGGGTGAAAAAGGGGTCAGTGGCTTGACATGAGCATGACTCTGCTCTTCACAAGGCTCTGGAGAAACACATTAAACCAAATCTTTCCTACACAAACACTCATGGCACCCACGTTTACCCTGGTGACAACGGTGTTGACAAAAGCACTAAGATGAGATTCTTCAGCATTGACCTACACAGTGGGCTTAAGAAACTCACACTCCTCAGAAAATCAGGGCTTGATTCATATTTATGCTGTAAAATTGACTCTTTAATGAAATGCAAAAAAGGGCACTTTGCCTTTCCGAGGACCGAGAATTCAGCTCACAGTGGATTTATCATCTCTCTTTGGACCATAATCTATACAGAGCCTCTGGCAAAGTCTTAACCCCATATTTTCTAAGGAAATGGGATCCGAAAACAACAACAAATGGCAAAAACGTGTTACTACTGTAATTGATTTCTCTTCTAACAGGTTTACTGCTGACCATCCAGTTGTTTCGCTTTGAGAATTCGACCCCAATTAACTTCTCGAAGGGCTGGAATTGATAGTCAGTGTCACTTCAAATAAATAAAAAGCCTCCCGGGAAATGTGAATGACAAAGGCAGAAAGCACACAGAAGAAAAGGCTTGCTATTCAGTAAGTGAAATATCCCCGAAAAGTACTGTCATTTCACTTAGTGTCCAAAAAAAAATCCCTCTGAACATTTCCGCCTCTCTGAAATACAATAATTAATCCAGTAAATACCTATGTAATTATTGTCTCGTTCGTTTGGTAGATGAATGGGTCCTCAATGGGGCAGAGCATAATATTTTTTCTAGCTGCCAGGCAAAATGGCTGACAATTTTACTTTTTTTAATACAAAATAAAGCAGCGGTTTGGGAAGTCAGAGTAAAGTCATTTATTTGGTTCCATTTGCATAGACGGAAAACAAATCAGTTGTTAAAGCACCATTAACTGAATCAAACATGAAAATCTCTTGTTACCAGTACATTTAAAAATGGACAGTTTTAATAAGAACTTTTTCTATTCCCAATGCTGTTTCCATAATTTTTGATCAATGTATTTTCATGAGTTTTCTGATTTTAACTATTCATTCCAGATAAGAACTCCATAAAAAATTTCAAAACATTATTTTTATAAAGATTTCCGAAAGCACAATTCCTTGTTGATTAAATCTTTTAGAAATGAATTTAACAAAAATAAAAAAAATCTACATTCGTAACAGAAGAGAACAGAAATATCCCTTACTTCTCCAGGCCTGGAAATCAATTTTAAAACTCCCTTCCAATAACTTTGACACACAAACTTTTTTTGCAGCCCAACCTTGTGTCCCAACACAGCCAATAGGATGAAATCAGAGTGAGAGCATGAGCACATTTCGTCACAGAGAAAAAACTGATGAGGTTAACATTCTTTCCAGTGGTCCATTAGGGGCCAGGTATTAGAAAAAATGATAAAGTTTATCACAAAAAACCCAAACACCTACAGTCAGGCTTAAATCATTCATTTTCCCAGTGCTTGACAACAGCACCAATGTGCAACACTTCAGTAGCAGTCGGGACAATAGCTCAATAACTCAGACAACTTATTTACCAACGTACAAGATCAACTGAAGGCAAAGTCTGGGTTGTAAAACCCCAACCATTTTGTGAGACTTTTCATTTCATTCTACATGCTTCCCCTATTACTATAGTATGAGTCTTACATGCTGCTATTTTGGTTTGCAGTTGACTGATGATGCAGTGTTCAATAGCAATTTCATGCAACACCCAGTGTCTCTGTGCTAAATCACACACTTCAAACATTTATATTGCAGAGAAAACAGTCTTGTTTTCTTTCTGCTTTAATAATTGATTTCTAACTTATATAAAAACAGTCCTCCAATATTTCACACACTCATCTGATATTGTGGCTGCATTCCGCAGCCCCTCTGCATTGTCGTGCTACATCTGGAAAGCTTGTCATTTCTCTCTCATTTCTGGACATCCTTCTTTAATATTGTCACCAGAAAACAGATTATCATCTCCCATCTTTCATTACTAAATAAAACTATTGTTTAACTCTTGTTCTCAACTATAAAAAAAAGTCATCCTTGAAATACAATGGAACCAATATGGAAATCGCCATAAAAAAATTAAAAAAAGAGGAAAAATATAGGAGAATGTGTAAACATAGATAATCTCAAATGTAAATGTCAATAGTATTAACCCAATAATAGCATTCCGTTAATAAATCCTCTACAACCAAACAAGAACATGTTAAATAAATAAATAAAATGCATTATTTAAAAAAAATAAACAAATGATTACAGGGCTGGACAATAATTCAATATAAATATGTATCGCTTCATGAAGAAATATGAAGGCCATTTCCAGCAGCGGGTTTGATGGTGCTCTTTTTTTTTTGCAGCAACTCAGAGCACTTTTCATACTCTTTATACTGGCTAAAGCACATTTGTTTTAATCTATAAGAAAAATCAGCCTACACTACCAGTCAAAGTTTTTGAACAGGAAGATTTTTTTTTTTTTTTAAGAATTCTCTTCTGCTCACCAAGCCTGCATTTATTTGATCCAAAGTA